CGAGGTTCCTAGAGTAGTTAAATTTATATAAAGATAGCAGAATTATGGCGCTGGAGGCGGGAGAGAGGCGGGATGGGAAGGCTGCTGAATAACGGGTATAGAGTTTCAGTTTTGCAAGATGAAAAAAGTTCTGTGGATGGACAGTGGTGATAGTTGTACCAAAATGTGGAAATATTTAAAGCCACTGAGCTGTACATTTAAAGATAGCTAAAATGGGGGCTGGTATAGCTCAGTGGTAGAGCACATGCTTAGCGTGCATGAGGTACTGGGTACTGGGTTCAATCCCCAGTACCTCCATCAAAAAAAAAAGATAGATAAAATGGTAAATTTTATGCTACGTATATTTTACCAAAATGGAAAAAAAAAAGGCAAGAGCATAGCTGAGGTGGAAAAAAATGATGTGGGTCCCTGCAAATGTAGGTGAAAATAGACTTGTGAGTCAAGTTACATTTAAGCACCTTGGATTAACTTGTTATAAAGAATCATTTTATGTAGCCCTTGATTGATCTGTTTTTGTTCATCAGCATTTTCATCAATCAGCCTCTCTTGGGCACACCTCCATTATTATTCATATCACTTCCCATCAGCTTGACCTCTAAATGTTGATGGTTCCTGAAGAACATCTCTTTGAGACCCTCCTTGTCTACTGTTACTGGCGTGGCAACGCCAGCCTCCTGTCTTCACATCTCATTTTGGTGTGTAAGCTTTCTATCAGTTAATATCTCATGTCTCACCTCTCTGCCAAGCTGTGTGTTGGACTGCAGCTTTCTGCTCGACATCCCTCCAGCATCTCAAACTCAGTTTGGCCCAAACTGGACCCGTCAGTATTTTCCTTGTTCTGCTGAGTTCCTGGTTTCCATGGAAGGCACCACCACCATTGTTTTGGTGCCTCAAGTGTGAAAACACAACAACTTTGAATCTCATTTCCCTCTCCTTTCTTCCAGATCTGCTCAGCAGTCAGCTCTGTTGTGTTTTCCATCTGTCATCACCACATCCTGTGCTGGTGTCCTTGTTTGCCTGTGTTTGCCTGTGCACTGCCTATGCTAGCTCAGACGTCGATCCACTCTTCAGTTTTTTAAAATTTCTTAAATTTTTTTTATCTTTTAAGTTGAACCTTAAATTATTTTTTTTAAAGCTTTTGGTGGGGTAAGTAATTAAGTTTATTTATTAATTTAATTTTTTAAATGGAGGTACTGGGGATTGAACCCAGGACCTCGAGCATGCTAAGCCCATGCTCTCCCACTAAGCTATACTCTCCCCTGCTGCCCTTGGTTCATTCTTAAGTAGACCGCTGCAACTGCCTCTTTGCCTCCAGTCTCTCCCTGTGGGCTTGCCACAGCCATCCTAGGAGTGCAGCTGTGAATCAGCCAGAGGAAAGCCACGGAGACACCAGTCCTGTTCCCTGTACTAGAAAATCGAGCATCTGGGTAGAGTTCACTGCAAAGAGGAGCAGAGCAGGACACAGGACAAATCATGAAGTCCTGAGGTGCTTGTGGCTGAGAAATAGCCCGAGGAGGTGAGGCTGGGTCAGTGGATGAGGTGTGGCAGCTAAACTGAGTCTCAGGTTCAAATAAGTCTTGCGGTTCCAAGTGATCAGCCCTTTTGGGAGCAGAAGCCAAGCCTGCAATGGAGAAGGCAGGGGCAGCAGGTCTGTTTCCCAGGAGAGGCAGCTGGCAAGAACTAGGCAGGGCCCAGGGAAGGGGCAAGAAGCACTCCTTGGGCAGAAAGCCAGCACTCTGCCTGGGCTGACCAGTGCAAGCAAGGGGGCTGTGTTGCTCAGGGGGCTCCTTGTCTCCCTGGAATGTAGGGGCTTAGCAGCCCTGGGAATTCCTTGGCTCTGGGTCTTCACCTGTATGGACCACTCAGCCTGGGACGTGCCTACTCCTCACAACTTCCACATCCTCCAATCCCACCCATCCTTCAAAAGTCTAGACCAGGTGCCCCTTCTTCCTTGAAGCTAACACTCCACCTGCAGAGCTGTGACATTCTTTCCTGGACTCCGGTAGCTTTTTATCTCACCTGCCTTCCTGCACTTATCATTTTCTACCTTAGACTATCGTGACTTAAGCTGCCAGCTTTCTAGACTAACGAGCTTTTTGTGGGCAAGATTCAAGCCTGAGGCTAGCACAGTAGTATGGCCCCATGTATAGCCACGTGGCTTAACGCACAGTCCTTGATTTCACTCAACAATGAACAGACTAGTTTCCCTTTGTTAGTGATGAAGGTCTAGTGTGAATGAGAAATAAGCCTTTGTTGTTTTCAGCCACTGACATCTGAAGGTTGTTACCGCTGCATAACCCAGCCCGGCAAGCCAGATGTATTCAGCCCGGTTGATCTGGTCTAGATGTGACTAGCATATCACCAGATCCTGGTGGCTGATGGGTGACCTGATGGGAAGGCAGAAGCCAGGGGAAGCTGCATCTTCGGGCAGCAAGTGCTTCTCTCAGCAGTTCAGCTTCCTCGGTGGCAGTGGCAGTGGAGGCTCACCAGGCAATGCCAGTAATTTAGATGCAGATATGCAAGAAGGGATGTTATCTCCCACTCTCCCCTCTAGGGGCTGCCTTCTAAATTAATTAAAAGCTGGGGGTGAGCAGAGAGGATATTCTATTAAGTTAGAATGTTCTCTTAAAATTTTTGAGCCTGCAGTAGGATTTTCTCATCAAGTGTGTTTTACGAGAGTTAGCAGGATTCTGCTCCTGGTAGGCAAAAGCATCTCACTTTCCACATATAAGTGTGCGACCCGTTTCCCTAGAGAGCCCTTGGCATCTGGAGGGGCTGCTTGTTGAGCTGAACAGCTGAGGAAACAGCAGAGCCCCGTGTACCAAATGTTCTGTGAGCTACCAGCCTGACAAAACACAGGTGGATCCCAGCCCTCCAGGGCACACAGGTATTCCTTGGGCAGAACAAAAAACAAACAAGCCCCTCTGCTGTACTTCTGATTGAAGGGAAGTGGTTATCTGTGTGAAAAAAGATTTAAAAAAAGCTTTGTAGTGTCCTGTGTATGTGTATGCAGACTGCTAAACCTCAGGAACACTTACAATGACAAGAGAAATGGGCAAGAGACAGAGATTTAATTGAATAAAAACTCCAGGCTGTGACAGGGGCCGGAAGACATGAAGCAGTAATTAACAACATAATTTTTTAAATGATGATGCAATTAATTAACATCCTGAGTATGGGGAGGAGTGGGGAGGAGAGAGACATTCTTCAGCCCAGAAATGCAGCTAAGTAAAGGAGAAGGGGACTTTGCATTTAAAAAAAAAAATCTATGTGCAAAAGACCTTGGTTATCCTGACTTCAGCAAAGCTCACATCACCAACCTGAGAAAGAGATTTCTCATGGCAGAGGAAGCTGACAAATGAATCAACCTTGTATTTCATTTTATTCTGCAACTTGTAATCATTTTATCCTCATCTGTGCCAGGGAGAGATCGGGGTACATAACGAAGTTGGCAGAAATTCAGGTTCCATTCATGCTTTGGGTTGAGGACTAGTCTCCCCTGAGGGTGCTGGGGATGGGGCCCCAGGAGCTGAGAGCCTGAAGACATTTACCAGGACTGCTGTAGCGGCAGTGGAAGCAGTGGGTCAGGGTGGTGTGGAGGCTGACCGTAATCTGCTCAGGAAGTGACTTTCCAAAGCCACCGGGAGCCTCACCTGAGTGAGATGGCTGCTTGGACATAAGAGGAATGTCTAAGAGCAGTAACTTCCATGATTCTCGCTGATCACATTCCCTTCTCCAAAAGGTCAGAGTGATTGTCCTTATCTGTCTACAGGTTTGAAGATGACGGCGGGACATGCATTTTAAGTTCACTTTTGGAAGGACCCCCTCACACTAATTTCTAGGCTCCTTATGACCCAGGAAACTCAGTTGTCCCCTTCATGGTTGTAGGACCCACAACAGCTCCCCAATGATTGAGATGGCCACTGGGGTCATTCTAGTGTCAAGAAACAAAATGAAGTTCCTGGCCTGTTGGAAGTCTTGTCATGACCTTGGGTGTTTTCCCTACTCTCAAGAGAACATCCAGCTGCAGGACCACTTGACTGGGAAGGCTGATCAATCACAGGACATGTGGGGAGAAAACTTTATCTTTATACCAATGACACATTAGCTCCTAGCCTAAGGCTCAGTACAGGGGTCTGGGTTTATCTACATTTACTTTCTTTAAAGCAGAAAACCTCTTTTGCCACAATATCCTGTTACCTCCTGCCCAATCTGGTCATTTTTAGGACCAGTAGACACTACCCAAAGTTATATCAGCACAGAAACCTGATAACTTGGCTTAAAACGAGGGTTACTTTATTGAATTGCTGCTCTTGAAGAGTAAAGAGTAAGTAAGGAAAGAGTAAGACACAAGGTGTGTGAACGGTTTTACGTTCTCGGGCCTCCATTGTTGAGAGAAGCAGTTCTTCAGCAGACTTGCCTCTTGCAAGTCACACACACGGCTCTGGAAACTGGCATTTCACAGCCACAAACTGAAGTGAGAACCCACCTCCACGCATCTACTCCCAGGGCTGTACAGACTGAGATGGGGCAAATCAACCTAGTTACAGGGGGTTGGTGGGAAGGCCACTCGTAACAGAAACGTACGATTACAACACAGAATAGTTCAAACATTCTTTTTTCCTAATCTGAATTTGGCCTACGGTAGAGATCTAAAGGGAAAAGAACAAAAAACAAACATACTTCTTCACTACCACTGAAACAAACACTTAAGTACTTAGTAATTTATAGAAATAAAGTTCAAGATGAACATTATCCCAGAGTCAAGGGGGCTGAAATAGACTTAAGCTGACTTGGTTTCAATCAGGAAGATACTCTTCCTAGAAAGATAGACTCCGCCCATCACTTGGGATTTCAAAACTCTCCACTCAGAAAAGAACATTTTATGCAGGCTTTTCTTTTTGATCTGTTTAGGCATTTTAAACAGCTTGCTTGATACTTCATGGAATTATAAAGCTATATATAATGCAGAAATCATTCTGGAACATATGTGCGTCCTCTTTTTTTTTTTTCTTTCTCAAAATGAAGGTTATTTTCGAGAACAAATATCCTGTTTTCAAACAAATGTGGTCATGAACCATGGTGTGTCAGAAAATATACGGCATGTTTCGTGTCAGTAGAATCATTCCTAAAGAAAGTGACTCAGTTTCCATGAGGAATCAAGATATGGTCAATTCAGGGGGAAAGTCTGAGAGGAAGGGGAGCCCGGAGCCCTGCATGACCAGCTGAAGGTTAAGAGACACCTCGGAGCCTCACAGTTTCAACACGGGACCGGGAGTCGGCATCTCAGTTTATAGCACATCAGCAAAGAACTTCTGAGTCACAAGTAGCCTTTGTAAAAGCTCTTCACTAGACCTGTGCCTTCCCCACTGGCTCCTAGAAAAAGCAGCTGTAGTTCCGTCCCACTTCCTTCTGCTTGTGGGCAGAGGGGCTTGGTGGAGACACAAAATTTCAGAAACTCAAACCACCTCCCCCCAAAAAGACTATTTTACATTGTATTTAATAGAACCCCGTGTCTGGGCTCTTCCCCTTTGTCTTTCTCTACTTTTTTTTTCTTTCTTCTTCTTCTTGACAGCAGATCCATAAAAAGTGAAAAGACCACAAAAAACATCACCTTGGGAGACAGAAAAGACTAAGACAGCTCGGACCACAGGACAAGTGTCTTGGCCTTGACCTACACAGGGGCAGCTAAGATTCTGGAGTAAGGGGCGTGCTGCCCCCGCCCGCCGCACAACACTGTGTTTAGACGTTGAACAAGTGCAAAAAGAACGCTGCTGAGTCTAGTTTGTGTCGCCCGGCTGTGCAGCTCACGGTGTCGGAGGTGGTTTCGGAGATGGGCACGAGCTCTCGCTGTCGAAGCTGGCCGCCTGGCCCTGCCACTGCGGAGAGGAGAAAAAGCTGCTTATCCATTGCCAAGGGACCGGACATTTCAACTCTCCAGACTCATCCAGCCCATGCACTGAATTCACCCTTTCCCAGCTTTTCATAAGCTTTCTTGAATTTTGCTGTTAGCCATGCAAAAACAAAAGGAAAACAGCTTTTGAGCTTCTGGTTTGGAAGACCTGATTTTTAAAAAAGACCTACTGCAGAGATAAGGGAAGCTTTCCTGCACGTGTGGAGTGCATGCGTGCGTGCGTGTTAATCAGGTGCTCTGGCTGGACCATTTCTGAGTGCTTCAGCCATTTTTCACACTGAAAATCAGAGGATGTTAACAGCAAAAGAGGCCGTCTGCAGAGTATGCCCTGACTGCCAAAAACCTGCGATCATGAATTATTAGCAATTTGTCTGGGAGCTGTTAGTACAGCTAAAACCCTGATATTGCTTCGGTGTTGGGCTCTCTTCTTCAGTCTCAGTGCTTCTTGGGGTCTTCACACCCAACTTGTGACGGGGTGGGAGGTGCAAGGAGATGGAAACCCCCCTGCCACCCCAATGGGATGTCTCCACCCTTTTTCTCCTCACTCTCCTGTCTCACAGGCTGCTTCCCCCAGGCTGACTCTAATCCCTCAGTGAAGATGGTGATGTAATGAGGCGTAATGGGGTGAGGAGAGGGCAGAGGATGGATGACCCTTCTTTAGGTTGAAAAGCCAGGCATAGCTGGAGCAGTGTTTTCTGGGCAACGATCTGACCCTGTGAAAATTCCTGACCTGTCTAGGGGCTGTGTAACTTCAAAGCGAGTCAGTGTCCACTGCTCACTCTACCCTTTCTGTGAGCAGAGGAGACAGTACGCCCCTAGGTGCCTGCAGAACATGGCTCCGGGGAGAGAAGTTAAGTAGAGGGGTAAGATGGCCTTTCTGACCCTGAAGTACCTTTCTATTTCTCGTGGGCTTTCAGGGTCTCCATGTGGGGTGATGGGGCTGAGGAGAAGCCTACTGCGCATTTGTGCATATACGGGGTGGGGGGGCATGGTCCTTCCCTCCCTCTTCCCCGCAACATAGCCCTTTCTAGACAGAGCCAAGCCATTTAAGGGTTAGACCATCCCATCCAGCCTATGGGAACCCACAACGCCGAGGAGAGACCCAGACCTACTGATTGCCTTCACGTTCCCGGATCTAAGGAAAGCCTCTATTACCCCTCCCTAGGCTCAGTTCTTCATGGTCCATTAGTACCCCCTGAACAGGCCAACCTGCAGATCTTTACAGCCAAGCAAAGGCCGGACAATCAGGTAGTGATGACCACCATCACATGACCTAGGCCTGTGCAGTCTTAACACGGAGACCCGGAGGTAGCCCTGGGCATCATCCAGGCTAGCTCTTGTTCTTGCAGATTGGAAAACAAAGATGCAGAAAAGTCAACGCACAGCTAGCTAGGAGCAGAGTTAGGATCTCAAACCAAGTCTCCTAACTCCACGCTCAGTGCTCCCTCCACTCCGTCCTACTGCCACCTTCGCACCTGGCCACACCAGGGGAAGGAGGAGGCACACAGTGGAGTCAGAAACCTAAGCTCTTTGGGTCCATACCAGGTACTTACTCCTAACTCCGGGTGGCAGTCTCTCTGCTTGCAGCATCCACGTGAATGAAATCACAACCGAGGGTTTCCCTGGTGAAATATTTTAGATAAATAAATGCCTGGTTGTTGAGCCCACTGTGACTTCTGACTCAAGTGTTGCTTAACCAGAAGGTGACATAAGGTGATTACTAATGCTTTCATTTAACAGATCTTCATTTTAGAAGTTCAACTTTTTCTGTTACAACCTTTAACGTCAGTGAAAGGTACATTGTAATGATTGGCTTCTCCCCTGGGTAAGCATGCCACTTAAACAGGCTTGACTGATAGGCCAATTCAGAGGAGAAAAAACGAAATGGCTACACAGAGCCCCTCTCTTTTTTCTTTACATAATTGCTCAGAAAGAAGTCACATAGAGCATAATTGTTTATCCAGGACAAATGAGGAAGGCACGCTGGCTCCCCTGCTAGCCCCTGATTTTCCCTATGAAGATACACAAAGGGAGGAGATGGGGTTTGTGGACAGTGGGAAGGTGAATGACTCCTGCAGGCTTATCATCGAGGCTCTGAAATAGCAGAGAATTGGTCTCCGGCACACCAAGGAAGATGATTGTTCTGGGGTGGCTGTGTTCCATTGAGATCTTTTATTGTTCTGAAATGGGTTATTTTCCAACAGAGATCTAAAATCTCTGGCAGATTTTCTGAATTTGGCCTTTCATAATAAAATGCCTTGGAGAAGATCGCTGGTCAACCTGGGCTCTGTGTGTGGTGACAGCCACGACACACAGCACTGAGCAGGAGTGCTGAGAGGGAAGGGGCCACGGCTGCTACCGGGGAAGGATGCTCACTATGGCTTAATCAATTTTTATTCATGAAAAAAATCCCAGCAGGGAAAAATACCTTTTCAGTTAATTTGTTCCCTCAACCTGATTGTAAAACCCCAAACAAGCGAGCAAGTATGGTGTTTTCTGTTTTCATTAATAAAAAAGAAATGATTACAGCACTTGAAACTCCTCTAAAAAGGTACAATATAAATGCAGTGTGTTATAGATTCAATGCTGTTTCTCTTCCCGGGAGCAGGAGATGAGATTTCCTTATGTCTCATACAAATAGGGGAAACAAATTCCCGGAGCAAAGTTCTTGCTCAACGTTCAGAACAGTACCAAAAAGGAGGCAGGATGTGAGCTCTAAGGACGACTGAGATGGTAAATATTCAAGTACGAGGCACCACATGAACACAAAGAGGGCTTACTTATTATTAGCCTGGTGGGTTTTTAGATGCATTTTTATAAAGGTGCTTAAACTGTGGTTGCTAAAAAGTGTAGGCACAAATTTTTACAAATTTGTACTGATGAAACCCTAAGTTGCCCAGATGAATGTCATTTTCAGCTTCTTCATACAGAGAAATGATCAGCTGAGCAGAAAATGGAAGGATACGGAGTGGGGGTGGGGCAGTCTCAGGAACTTGTGTGCAAGGTCGAGAAAACAGTAAACCCAAAGGATATGAATCAATTTATTCTCTTTTCGTTTTCCATATGCTGTTACTTTCCCTTTTCTGTCTCATCAAATATTCATTTTCCAGGGCTTGATTCTGCTTTATCTTCCTTTTGTAGTCTGGACTGGTGAGTTGGAGTTCTCAAAGAAACAGGCCTTGGAATCAATTATTTGGCTTAATTAGGTTGTATTTATCACGGAGAGCGATGCTGGGCCAAGTCTGGCCCCTCCGTGCTACTCTGCACCCCACCTCCAACTCCAGCCGCTGCCGATGGGTGACTCCAGTTTGCGTGGACAGGCTAGCCCGATCAGGGTGATGAGGTATTGCAGCTTCAAGATTAGAAAAGCGATGCAAGATGCGGGCTCACCTGCCACCCCTTGTCTGTCATTTAGGGTCAGTTTCCTAGAAGTGCAGAGATGGGAGGAGCCCACCCCCTCGTTTACCAACCAGGTGACTGAAGACCTGGTGGGGCGGTGAGTTGTCTGCGGCCCCGCAGCCCGTCACAGGCCTCTTAGCTCCCATTCCTTGCCCCTTTCTCATGCCATCCTGAACATTTTAGTATACTTATCGTATTCTTAAGTATCTCCAAAGGTTTAAAAGGGGGGGAGGGGCCGTGCCCCTCCCTAGTTTGAATCAGCTGCGCAGTCGCTGAGGTGCTGGACGCTGCCTCTGCCCCCTAGCAGCCTCCTGTGTAGGTGGAGGCTGGCTGCGGTACCTCACCCACACCCTGCAGAGAGGGCCTTCCGGAAAAGAAGGGGCAGAGGCTCCCCTGGGGGAGGAGGGCCCAGGAGCTGAGGGACTGGCCTCACTCATTAAAGATCCACAGCTGTGGTCAAATCAAGGCAACCACTAGACAGAAGCATAAGGCCTCAGACGAACAGCAGCTTTCTGTCTGGGCCTTACTCCTCCATGCTGGCCTCACTGGCCACAGGCAGGAACATCACCCACACATGCCTACCTGGGGAGGCAGTTCTATAAGCCTGGACCCTCAGAGGCCTCTCTCTCCCACAGGATCCCACGTGTCCACTGCCCTCAGCTGTCTCTCTTGAGACACCTGACACTGCTGGAAACAGGTGGAAACAGGCTTGTCCACCCAGAGAAAGGAAAAGAGTCAGCAGGTCCTCTGGGTTTGCTGCCCACACATTTTCCATGTCGCAGAACATGGGGAAGAGAAAGGGATTACTATTTTTAAGGTGATTCTGCTTTTAAGCTGAGGGGCCATGCAGTGTAAGGGTTAAAGCTTTATTTTTTTTTTTATTAGTACATTTTCCAAGTTAATACAATTCTCTGGACTTTTTGGCTTGAAGCCTATTAAAGTGAGTGAATGACCACTTGGCTTTCTAAGATGCAGACTGGGGTCTGAGATACTCAAAATGAGGTTAAAACTTGCCTGGCTACCCCTACGTCCCAACCCATTTGAGACAAAGCAGGCGGGGTGGCGGGGGACCACCAAGGTGCTAAATGGCAGGATGTTACACTGGCTGAGTTCGGTGGAGGCGAGGCAGTCTGTAAGTCTCACTGAAGGGAACATTTTCTTTGCAGCTGAGAGAGCAATAACTAGCTCAAGATTATATGGCAAGTGAGAAAGGGCCAGTATTGGAGCCCAAGTCTCGGGACTCCCGGGCAGGGCTGCATCCAGTATGTCTCTGTCAGGACCCGGCCAGACGAATGTGTCACCTTGAAGCCACATTCTCTTCCCCAGCAATGGGGAGAACCAGCATTCACCAGAGGAGGGTCCTGTCTCTGACCAGCTCTGTCCACGCAGTGAAAACTTCCGCAGGACAGTCTGGCTAGAGCCTCAGGGAACATTCTGCTTGGACAGGGGTAGAATTTCTTGCCAAGTTCTGATCTCATCCTCTTGGGGCTTTCTCCAAAAAGACTGACTTGGCCCAGGGACTTTGTGAAAGCATTCTGGGCCTGGCACTGTGGGCTGCTCGGAAGGCTTCCTCTAAGTTTTAATTTTCCATTTAGAACTCAGTGTTGGTTTCAATATACTCAGCATCAGAGGCTTTTGGTTGGGCAGTTTCCCACCGTCTTCCTCCATTTCTTTCCTGCCTGTTACACCCTGAGTGACAAGTGTGTGCCCCCAAACCCCTCCCACCCCCCGGAAGGACCCCCGAAGGTGAGGTCTCGCAGCAGCCGACTGCCATTCTCCAGCCCACACTGCCATGCTGCAAACATGCCACGGGCCAAGCGCGACCTCACCCACCTCTTTGAAGGATTTCTTTACCTCCACCAAGGAGTGCCAGTGTGCGATGGGCTTCCGTGGGTACGCCAGCATCTCATTCCAGTGGTCCCTGCCCAGGCCCTCGGCGCTGATCCCCACACGACAGACTCCTATGATCTCGTTGTGGCCCACACTAAGGGAGAAACGAAGCACCTGGCACTAGCGACCAGACATACTCTCAGAAGGGGAGGTCCCAGAGGCTGGGCCTCAGCCCCACAGGTCTAACTCAGAAGGCTGAGCTCTGTACAGAGGTGCTGGACAGGGCCTTGGGGTGACAGTGGCAGTGAAACATTGCCCAGACTCTTTGGGTGGATATTGGACCCAGACAGATGAGCAACATGTTCTAAACTTGTTTGGAATCTCAGGAACTATGGCAGACGGCCTGATTTTGGGGAGTGGGAGAGGGTAAATTTCTTTTTTTATTGGACTCAGTGAGCACCTAAGACAGCAGTGCTGTTTGGAAATAAATCAACCTATTCTGAGTACGGTTTCTCCAAACCCAGCGGCTGGGATGTGATCTATTCACACAGCAAGAACATCAATCATCACTCACATTTGTTCACTGAGTGCCTGCTATGCCTGAGAACTTGTGCTAAAGATGCTGGATTGAGGCTTTACTGCATGTTTTTACCCCTCCTTCAGCTAAAGTGACAACTGGAGAGAGAGAGGATCAGTGGCTGGAGTAGCTGGAAAATGTGTTTGAGGGCCAACCTTGATGGGGTTTGGAAAGTGGAAGAGAAGAAGCATATCCAGGGAAGGGAAATCAAGTTGGATGGATCTGCTGGGGCCGGGTCTGGAAGGCCTTGAGCGTCCAGGGGACGAACGTGGACAACAGGAGCCATTGATTCTTGGGAAGGGCAGGTCCAGGAACAGAGTGGTCTTTTGGGAATGTGTGCCTTTGGCATGTTCTCTGGGTTGGGGCAGGACTGATGAAGGCAGGGGTCAGCTAGAAGGCTGCACAGCCATCCCCACATGGGAGTGACAGCAGCAGTACAAATGGAGAGAATAGAGAGGGATTCTTAAGGACAGAGGCTAAGACTTGGGCTAGACAGAGGAACAGGAATAGTCGAGAGTGAATTCAGGGAAACTGATAGGGGTGGGGCAGCCTCTGATGGAAACGGGCCCACTGGGAAGCAAGTCTGAGCTTCTGCTTTGGGGGAACCTGGGCTCCTCCTTGGGTAGAGCCAGATTCAAGGCCAGTGAGTGGCTGAGTCGTGAACCACAAGGTCCAAGGTCAAGGAGCCCTGTGCTGTATTGGAGTTGGGGTGAGGGGCAGGGAATTGTGGCCTCTGGTACCTGTACCTACCGATCGTAATCCATAACCGAGATGAGCAGGCTGACTTGATCCATATTCTCCGGGGGAATGTCAAAGATGATGGCCTCATTGTAGACGGGGTTGAGGGTGTTCTTCTTTATGGTGGTTTTCTTTTTCTTCAGTCTCCGCCCGTCACAAAGCAGGGACACTTTGACGTATGGATCTGTGCCAAGGGGGGCAGTGGGAAGGGAAGGGAGCGTGTTAAACAGATGTCCTCAAACATCATGTGCCGCAGAGCCATGGAAGCCCCAGACCTACTGTTGTACGTCAGATGGTATCAGTGGGTTGTTAAAATAATTAAACCACCTTGTACTTACATTGCACACCTGTCTCTGAGGATGCTCCATGCTTAATAAACACAGAGTCTTTAGGGACCTCAGGCTTCTTAGGAGAGTGCTTAATGGACTTTCACTATTGGGGAAGCTGGCCCAAATCAGACAGGACACCTGCCCATGACTGTGCAGTTCACAGCCCTCAATCTCAGCTCCCCGGTGACCGGTTGGCTCCAAAGGGTGGCAAAGCTGGACAAGGGCACTCCCTTCCTTCCTTTCACCTACTTGGAGCATTTTCTCTGCAGGGGCCTTGTCAGTCTTATTAACAAAAGGATAAGGGAAGTAAAAATAGAATCGTTGACACCCAAGGAGTAGCAACGTGACAAAGTAAATGAACAGTGACAATCACAATGCTTTTTGGGTCCTCCCTACCTGACAACAGGATTACGGGTCTCCTTGTCCCATGAAGCTCACTCCATCTGGCATCAGGAAGGGGAGCATCTCTGCTTCCCTGGAAGCCATTTCCTGCCCACTCTGGGCAGCGGAGGAGGAGAGGGCTCTGGCCGGGGCAGTGAGTGTGGCGGCCTCCTGAGACTCAGGGTGGCCAGTTGGCATTTCATTACTTGGTGAGATCTTGGAATCCCTCCACCCCTCGAGGAGATGTCTTTTTAACTGAAGCTCGACGTGCCTCCCATTTCTGGTCTCTTCTTTAGTTTTCTGAACGAGTAATTTCATGGTCATCTTTCTAGCCTGAAATTTTCTACTCATCCAAGTGAAGTGACACCTATTGTATCTCGTAGCACAGGTGTCTCGGTCACCACCATAATTGTTATTTATGCTGCACAGCTCAAGAAATGAGAGGGTTACTCGTAGGTAATAACAGCTTTTGAGACACTGATGTGCTGAGACACCTTCTTGCCCAGAAGCCAGGGCTCCTGTGAATCTGTCAGGAGGTGCGGGCCAAGCAGCGGCTCCTGGCTCCCCGAGGCACTGGCGTATGGTTCTATCTCCTGGGCACCCAAGTGCCCACTAGGCCCTTGTGCTCCCGGGGAACTTGTTCAGATGGCAGATGAGGCGCACAGCTTTGGGGAAGCTACAGAGAACTGTGACACTTGATGGGAAGCTCAAGCCTTAAAGGCATTTCCGTAGACACCCAAGTGAGCCGCTGACTAACCAATGTGACAGCTGCAGCTGTGCCTTAGCCAAGGGGGCATCGGGCTTATGGGAGGCCAGGAGAGACCATGAGGTGTGCAATCACCCTGCTGTCTCTGACTACCCATTTGCAAGGGCTCTCTCTTGGGGGAACGTTCAGTAAGAAGGAAGGAGTCCCCACAACTGCTCCCCAGTTTCTGCAGGCTCCATTCTCTATGGCTACGCCCTGGACAGTGTTCAAGTCCAAGATCTCCCATTAGCATGGCAACCTCTACACTCCTTAAGAGTGAACATTGCCTTGGAAAGTGTCTTCAGACTCCAAAGTTTACATCTGTAACTACTAGACTCAAAGCAGGACAGATCAGATGTGGCAGAGAGGGGTGGGTTTATGCACTCACCACCTCTTTGGGGTGTACTGATTCTTGTTATTATCTTGTATTATTTTTGTTGTCATGGTTCTAGTGGCTAGACTTAGAGAATTGATTCACAGCTAGTTTAGATCAAGGAGAACAGGAAGACCATTGGTTTTAGAAGTCAAGGTCATATAAATCAGAAACAGGCAATTAATGAGCTCCATTCACTCCCTAGGTTAGTCCAACATCAAAGCAGGCTGAGCTGGAGGCAACCTTAAACTTATCCTCCAAAACAGGAGATTTAGTTTAAGAGGCCCCTAGCATCACGCTGTGACAAGGTTCCTTATGCTATAAATCCATTCATTCATTCATTCATCATCCAATACATATTTATTCAATGCTGATTGCGTTCCATGCACTGTTCCATACACTTGCTTATATCAGTGAACAAAATAGCCAGAAATCCCTGACAAAAAGAGAACCACTGAATCTACAGAATCTAGCTGAGATTTAATACCAGATTCGCAGGTAGAAAAGAGAGGCAATTGTGAGAGGGAGGTAAGACCTTAGAATGAGAAAACTGTCTCACCCCCAACCCTCTGATTTACTATTACCTCCATGACTTTGCCACAAGCTCTCTCTAGCATCAATTTAATTACACCAGAGAAGATAGTGTGGGGACTTGGGCACAAAATCCTATTTCCTCCAGCAGTCTGGAGAATCCTCAGTGAATTTCCGTCCCTGCATACACTTATTTTAATATTAAAATGAAATCTACATCGGTTGTATTTTTGGAGGAAGCCAGCTTGCTGCTGCCTAAGTGCTTTGCACGTGTCGGAAGAGGTTCTTTAAGCTCCTCACCATGTCCCAATGTGTGATGGCAGCTCCAGTGGAAGGAGAGGCACGAGGACAGGTGTTTTCTGGGGCAGCTTTTGGCCTGGAAGGCGTGAGTGCTGCAGAGAGACCATGGGGACTGGGAGCAGAGGCTCTGAGTGATTCAAAGCCACCAAAAATACACCTTACTTTAGCGTTTCTTGACCACCCTTTCCTGAAACCTCATTTTTCGAGGCCTAATATCTCATCTTCTTCCAATTGTACTCGGCCTGGGCCCAGGATGTTTTCAGCTGGACCGTCACCTTTTTATGGCAACTGTGAATATACCAAGGAGTCTTCTGGGAAAGAATTAATGAATAAAAGGAAAAATCTTACATATACTCCCAGCCAAGTTCAGAGGCACCTCTGGAGTGGATTTACGTTGGTCATCGGAATCTTCAGAAGAGCCTCTTGGGTAGGGGTCTAGGGAAACAAACCAAGCCTTTCCCTGCCCTTGCTACCCTGAGTGCAGCCCAGGCTGTTCTGTGTGTCTGGCTTTGGGATGCTTTCCACCCCAGTTCACTTCTTGGGCTGTGAAAAAGGAGGCTCCTGGGACTCCTCTGTTACAGCAAAACTCAAAAACCTTCTCTGACAATGACTTGTAAAATTGTGGAAAATGATCAGACCTCTCACACTGTATCCAGCCTGCAGGCTCTGAGGCTGCGTGCAAGCCAGTGTCTCCCCAGTTGCTAGAACAGGATTTGTTTCTTCCACTGTATATAGCAGCTCTCCTAGTGCTGACGCAGAGGCCCAGAGCCCTGCAGGAAAACCTCAGATACAAATGCACTTTGCTTTTCAGTGGCTCTGTTCCTTTGACTTCGTCTGCAGGGCTGCCGCAGGGCTGCATGGACTTACAAACACTAGGCACTCCAACTTGACCTGACCCTTAGAAGTCCTGAGGCTTCACATAAACTAGAAAGATTTCCCTTAATTTTCTTCTGTTTATTCTTCTCTCCCTCCTTGAAGAGAAAGAACGATAGTATCAGCTAATATCTAAAGAGAGCTCATTATGTTTTTGGCATATTTTTAAACACTGACACGAATTAACTCATTTATTTTTAAAACAACCTGTGTAAATAATTTTTTTTCCAATCAGCAAACCAAAGCATTATACAGTAAGGACGTGGCAAAACGGGGATTCAAAGCCAGGCCTTTTGCTTGCAGGGATGGTGCCCCTATTCTAAAATACCAGCAGTTGTTCCCCCTTCTCTCTGAACATCTTTCTAGATGCTAATGTCTGGGCTGCTGGGAGGCCACGTGGCAGGCACTTGGGTGGGAGAGGTACCTGAATAGCCTGTGATGTCCATCGCCTTAAGGTTCCGACATTTGATCACGGTGAGGGTGAGCCTGCCTGCCGTGGGCAGGTAGCAGAGAGAGAACATGATCTCTCCCAAATCCACACTTTCCTGCAAAGAAGCAGAGAAGAGGGCAGATGAGGGATACGCAGCTCCTGGGCAGCTGCAGGGCCACTCCGGGGCCCAGGAGAAGGCCCTTCGTGGCAGAGTGCCATGTCTGTAAGACCTGAGGGTCTGACCTCCGTGCTAGGAGTAACTGGGTATAAAAGGCAAGGAAACAATTTCAGCTTTTCAGTAGAATCTGTCCCCTTCAATATTCCATCTCAGTTCTGATCAGACTCTGGTCCAATCCTCACCCTCCTGCTTTGACCTCACCTGCCCGACCTACGCCTCTCGGCCGCAGCCTCCAGACCCTGTGTGGCCCAGTCCTATTCTCCAACTCATCCTTCTCAGTCACTGGCCCTCTGGACATCCTGTCCTGCCTGGCCTGTGGTCATGACAGTGTTGTGTACAAGAGGCTCTCGGTCATCAGGGGGTCACCTCTCCCTGCAGATCTGCTTCTAGCCCTCCGCTCAGTCATTCATCACCAGTCCCTCTGCCCTGGCAGTTTCCTTGCCTCTCCTGAAATACACCTAGCACTCCAATTTCGAGCCTTCAGCTAAAAGCACAGGGAATCAGGACGTACCCAGGACATGCTGCCGACCAAGGAGATGTATGCTCTCCACTCCACGTTTGTGCTAGGTCTTGGAACCACTTTGTCCTTCAATGTGGCCATCCTTCAAAAATGAACCCAGCATGGAGCACACACTCTGCTGCCTCTCCTGCCCCCAGAAACATCAGGGCCAGGGATCCCAATTCTAGGGAGTTTCTGAGCAGCAGGAAATAAGAAAACTTCAGAGATGGTAAGCACATCCGGCTGTTGAATGAAACAACACACTGCTGGCTGCCTCCTTTTCCCACTCCCCACCTGATGGAGGAGGGTGCTTTCACTGCAGAACCTCTCCTTCAGGCTCTGAGGCTGATGTGGGACTTCAAGACATGGAGATGTTTCCTGCCTTAAAGCTCCCAGCCCCAGGGTGGAAGAGGAGGAGGTCAGGATTTGGGTGGCTCTGCTTTCAGATGGGGACATCTGTTCATTTATTCATTCAGTCAGTCAACAAATATTAATTGAGCCCCTGCTATGTGCTGAGTGTTGCTGTGTATGCTGGAGATACAGAAAAGAACAAAATAGACAAAAATTGCTGCCCTCATGAAGCTTACATTTTACGAGGACAAAGGATGAGAGAGAAGGTAAGTCAGTTAGATAGTAAAAAGGATCAAGGAGAAAAAAGTAAGGCAGGGAAAGAGGCTAGGAAATGCTGGTGAAAGCCATGGTTGTTGAAATTTTAGGCTGGCTGGGGAGGCCTCCTTGAAGAGGTGACCTCTGAGAAAGAGAGAAGTCAAGGGTGACACCAAGGTGTTTGTCCCTTCTCCTCAAAGAACCTCCCTCAACTGGGGACTCTCAGAGAAACGTCATACTTAGCCCCACCTGGAGAATAATCCCCCCACCCCTTCCAGAGCATGTGGTCCCAACAGCCTCCTCTAGATGGCACTGATACCCACCCTTTCCCTAGCCCAAGACCGATCCTTTTCTTACCCACCCCTCCAATCAAATCCCAGGAGTAGCAGAAGAGGAATCCTCTCAGCTCCCTGGGCGTGGGAAGTGGGGTGTAGGGGTGTGGCGGAATGCCATCTGGCTGGGGCAGAGCTGGTCACACCGCAGACAGAGCCACCCCCCACCCCCCCACCCCAGCGCACAGAGCCAGCGAGCGGAGACCAACACCCACGAGCTCCTGTGCCCCGCAAAGCTCTCCCATTTCCACCTTGGGGACTTGCAGCAACTGTGAGAGGCAGGGAATATTGTCATTAGTCCCTCCACCTCACAGACAACTCACGGTTGAAACTCAAAGGTAAAACTCAGGGGTAAAGCCCCGCCCAGGCATGCGCAGTTGGTGGGAGGCGCAGTGGGTGGGAGGCGCAGCCGGAGTCTGACCCTTAGGAGAGCAACGCCCTCCACGCTCACCTCAGGAGCTTCTCAAGGTAACCCTGGCGCCTCTAAACCTTAGATCACAATTTCACCTTTCCTTGTGTTTGTATTTACTGAGACCTGCTAGAAGTTCCGTGTTTTGTGGGGTGTGTGCTGTCCCCCTGTCGACGCGCACGCAGCCTGGGGTGGGGGTGGGGGGTAACCAGTTAAAAGAAAGTGCCAGAACCCCCATTTCCCTCAGGCGCGTCTCCTGTCTTCCGAGCCCCTGGTCCAAGGAGGGAGACACAGGAAAAGGCCCGTGACGTGCTGTCGTGGGAGCCGGACTGTCCCCTCACGCGGCGGGGGTCGGTCCGCGGTGCACTGGCTGAACGTTGCGTTCCCC